ATAATAAAGTCTGATAATGTTCAGCGTCATGTTTATGAGAGAGTATACAACTTTAATTTTTATATTTGGGGTGCTTAAATGTCCTAAATTTAAAATAATTAAATATAAAAACTAATATTGAATATAAAAACAAATATACTATATTAAAGTTTTGTAAAAAGATAAATTTAGTTAACTCTAAATTGGTTTTTTGATTTTTCCTTTTATATTTTAATTTAGTTTGTTATTTTCACTGGATTTTATTGTTATGTGTTATTGTTGCAATATTACTGTTGTGATGTTTTGTGTTGGTAGACAGCTTGGCTCACCTTCCCGTTGGTGTCTATTGTTAAAAATAAATAATAGGCAGTGTTTCATCATTGGAACTTACTGCTTTTATTTAATAAAAGCCAAGACAACATTTTGTTAAAAATGGAATTTATATCTTAGTTAGATTTTTCTTAGTATCGTTAATCCTTTTGTGCTTCGAAACACATTTTACAGTTACATTTTCGATAAATGTTTATATTAACTGCAATTTCGAAATAGGTTACTATAAATAGATAAATAGATTTTCGATTTTTATGTGGTGTTTATTTTTTTGTTGTTGTTGTTTGTTTTTTGTAATTATAATATCATAATTCCATTACTTTTTTAATTTAGATTTACGTAGACGCATTTATAAGATTTATTAATAAAAAACCTGATTTCCTTTTATTGTAAATTTTTGCTTGTTAAAAAGATATAAATATATGCAATTAGTTCAATTTATTTTTATATTTTATTTATTTTATGCCTAATAATTTGTTGTACGTATTTTTAAGGATCTCTGTAAACGGGGGGTCCTAACTAAAAACTTTTAAAAACATGGAAAATACTGTTGTTGAGCGTATTTGTCAAGTATTGAGTTACTTAAGTTTTATTTACGTGTTTAACTAATTATTTAGTTTAGTCTGCATTTACAACACTTTTGAGGAAAGAAATAAAACATTCTTATATATGTAACTTATTGTTTTACATTTTATTATTTTGGTAAAACGTCTTTATTAAAAACTTGATTACTCAATAAAAAAAACTCTACTCACCTGGCCACCATTAAAGCAAAAAGAGAAAAGGAACCTCTTTATTAGTGTCAAAATATTTAGGAAAAGTGAATTTCGAGTAACAAAGGGAATTTTTAGTAAATGGTAGCAAATAACCGTTAACTAAAAATGAATGAAATAAAGAGGCCAAACAAATAATACAGGAATGATCTGTGTTGAGCAGACTTAACAAGACCTTGGTCCGGTCAGCTTGGTTAACAAATTTTTATGTCTACTTATCTGCTACAATTTTAGTATTTTCTAAAAAAAAATTAATCAAGGGGATGCCAAAAAATTGATAACTTCTGTATAATATAAGTTAACTTCATCTTAATCTTAATAATTTGTGTTATAAAAATTATTACAAGGATTTAGTTGATACTTTCGTTAATTTAAAGCATGATGAAGTGTTATTATTTTCTGTCAGTAACTAAAAACGTATTGTGTTTAAATTAAGATTGTCAAGGAAAATGGCTCTGCTTTACATTGTTATGACTTAAGTCAGTCGTAAATTACTAAAATAATGTTAAGTAGTAATTGTAAATGTTAAGTAGTAGTTGGTTAATTATTTTAACTCCTCATACTTTTTATGTTAATTTTACAGATGGATTAATTTTTGCAATTTGAAGGCATTTTTCTAAAAGAGTGTTAGTTAAGTTTTTGCAACATTAAATTGTGGATAACAGCCGCTATAAATTGCTTATGTAACAGACCGACAGTAACCCGTATTACGGGTTGATATTTGCAAGTTATGTAAGGTTACATTAAAGTGAACAAAAAATTTTTATAAATTATTATTAATAGATTATTAGAATAAAAACGCAGGTTTTTACAATTTAATCGAGGCCTTATCAAGTTTTAAAAGTAGGGTACTACTTGCATAGCGGTTTTACGAGGGAGGTTTAGGGAGGAGAAGGTAAAATCCTATCATTTTCACTCCCCTCCCCTCAATAAGGTGATTTTTAACCTACTAATGCCGTATGATCTGGTTTTATGCAAGAGTCGACGGTGTGATTATCATATAAATGAATTATGTAAATAGCCTTACCTTGATGAACATCCTCAATTAAGATATCTCTCGTTTCTAGTATATTGTGACGTACCCTTTTTTGTTCATGAAACCATATTGCTCTTTGATAATAAGGATGATTTTGTTGTAAAATTTCATAATTCGATTATGAACGATGCTCTCGAGGACTTTTTGGTACGGATGTAAGTGAAACAGGACGGTAGTTTTATATTTTTGTTTTGGACCTTTCTTGGAAGGTAGGTTGATCTTCTCCAGAAATCTGGACCAATGCTTTCTTTAAACAAGTTATGGTAAACTAATATGAGAGGTGTACGCAATATTTTATACTTTTTCTTAATTGCTTGGCGAGTCCGAATTTCAGCGGCTCGGTATTTTACTTAAATGCTGCTTTAACTGTCTTTCTTACTTGTAGAGTTGTTTAATATTCTTTTTTATTAAAGTAAGGCAGTCACGTAGATGAAATAAAACATGTAATTATTGTACTTGTTTACTAATAATTGAACAGTCTTCTAGCAACAAATCATTAAAGTTTGATGATTTGTAGAATGATAAGATTTGATTGTGATTTAAGTCGTTTTTGAGTCTGCAGGGATTTCGATATATCTAACTTAACTCATTGCGTGAATTTCAATCATATTATTACGATATTGAAACTTTTTGAAAGAAAATAGAAATAAATACTATTTTATCTCATGATTTGGCTTTAAGGTAGTGCTTTACTAATCACACCAACGAGTACCTATTAGTAAAACTTTCCTGCTTATTAAGGACGTTTTTTTTGTGCTCTCTCCATATTGAAAATTCTGAGATTGTCGACTGCGTTTTATTAAATAAATTTTATAGATATTCGAATCCAAATTAAAATTCGAATCAATAAAATTCAAATCATTAAAATTGCTTTGTTTAAGCTTGCTAGTGAACTTTCTTCAAATTTTATGGGTATCCTTCTCCATATTCACATTTTTATGGGTATCTTTCTCTATATACACACTTTTATGGGTATCCTTCTGAACATACATATTTTTATGGGTATTCTTCTCCATATACACATTTTTGCACCACAACCTGCTTATGTTTTCATTTTGCGCCTGATTATCTTTTTCATAAAAATAATATTTCAACTTTTTTAGTTTTTTATACGTTCTTTTTTAGTCCTCAGTTTTTTTGTTCATATTTAACTAAATAATTTACAGGAATAAAAAAATGCATAAAGGGTAGATTAAGGTAATATGAGTACTATAAGCAAAAATTGAAATATTTTAAAAAATAACTATACTGGATCCAAAGATTTTGCGAATAAACAATTTTTAGGGAATCAAACTCATAATCCACTTTAATATTTGGGCACCCAAAATGTTTTCTTAAAAACACAGAGGTTTTAATAAAGTAACAAAAGTACTCATATTAACCAGACCACTTGGTAATATAAACACTTTCAAATAGCTTAAAAAATAACAATAGTTAATTTAAAAAATACCAACTTGACAATTTGAACTAATTATTGGAACAAAATCTTTCGTTATTAACAAAACTTATCATTAAAAGATCAATTTTTAAACCACTTTTTTGTTGAAACAAAAAGTAGTTCAACAAAAAGCTTTTTTTTTTGTTGAAGCTGAAATTTCTTTTATCTTTAGAGATGACTAACCTTCTATTCTTAGAGATGACTAACCTTCTATCCTCAGAAATGACTAACCTTCTATGATGATGACTAACCTTCTAAAATGACTAACCTCCTATCCTTAAAGATGACTAACCTTCTATCCTTAGAGATGACTAACCTCCTATGCTTAGAGATGATTAACCTTCTATCCTCAGAGATGATTAACCTTCTGTCCTCAGAGATGACTAACTTTCTATCCTTAGAGATGACTAACCTTCTACCCTCAAAGATGACTGACCTTCTATCCTTAGAGATGACTAACTTTTTGTTCTCAGAGATGACTAACCTTCTACCCTCAGAGATGACTAACCTTCTATCCTTAGAAATGACTAACCTTCTATCCTTAGAGATGACTAAATTCTTAGTGTCTCAATTGAACTAAAATGCGTGTGCAAAATTATTTTTTTTTTTTTAATTTTTGCAAGAGATGTTTTTTAATCTATATCCGAAGTAAAAATAGACATAAATAATTAGCATCTTTTGTAAACACAACCAAGATGCTAAACAATCAGCAAGTTTTCAACAAATATAGCTAAAACCATATATAATTGTTGTGAAAATTCTTCATAATGAACTTTGTAACTTTTCACGGAAAATGGCGGAAACTCCTCCATACTATGTTCCGCGAGTTTTCACTCAAAAACTCCTCCATACTATGTTCTGCGAGTTTTCACTGAAAATGGCCTAAATTGCTTCTAAAGATTCTTAAATTTTCACGGAACATAACACCAAGCAATCGTAATACATTAAATTGCAAGATTTTACTGTTTTAGGTCAAAAAAGTGAAAAAAATTATATGCTATTTTTCTTCTATAACGTTATAAAAATTTTGATTTAAAACTAAAGACTAAAACTTTCGATTAGTTTTAGTCGTTTTTCCTATAGTCGTATTGTTTTTTTCAAAGCAAAGTTTATAAATCTTATTAAAATCAACAAACTGTTAAGAGTGGAAAAAACTAAGTAACCCTACTCTTTCCCACTCCTTGCTGTCGTGAGCTGAATATTTAGTGAAAAAATCATATTTAGTGAAGCTTGTGATAAGTTATTTATTATTATTTATGCTTCTTATAGAAAAAAAAAAAAATTTATAAGAAGCAAAGTTTTTTCTTTTTGAAAAAACTTAAATACTTTGGAACATAATTTAAATTTCTGAATAATATATATATATATATATATATATATATATATATATATATATATATATATATATATATATATATATATATATATATATATATATGTACATATATACATATATATAATGTAATTTTTCATAAGTATTTTACAGTGCTTCAGCAACACTTTCACCTTTCCATCTTTTGTAATAAACATTTTGATATCCAACATCTGACGAACTAACAGCAAAAAATATTGCGGCTATCGAAAGTGTTTTAGAATTAATTGCTATAGTCAAACCTGCCACTGTTGATTCGTTGTTGTTTTCCTTTCTTTTGCTATTTAATGAAGACAAAGAGGTTTTATTAAAATGGGTAAGGCTCCTTGCTTCTTTAATTGTCAATTTTTTAGGCTCGAAGCAAAACTTGGTGACATTTATATCAATTTTTGAAGATATACTAAATATTTTCTTTGTCGCAAAGTAACCCGCTTCAAACTTTCTAATATATTTTTTACAGAATTCTTTCACTACTTTAGGAATAGATGATTTACGGGAGCCGTTGAAAAAAAATTTTATATCTGTATCGCATTCTTGGTTGATATATGACGAAAGAGGAGCTTCAAGGACGTCACTAGGACTTTGAAGGAATGATTCTTGCTCTAAAAAAATTATAAATTTTTATTTTAAAAAATGATAACTTATCAAATAGTCTTATTGTTATATGTTATTTATCAGCTGCATATCATTTATACATTATAAATTAGTATAATGTATTTTTTAAAGAATTTCATTTTTTTTTTAAATATCTTCCTGCATTATTTGAATTCACCTTTTTTTGGTTTCGTTTTACTATACTTATTTTACAATATTTGTTTAAGAAAATTTGTTGTTTTTTTTTACTTATTTTACCTAATTTTATTTTAAATTTTAATTGTACACATATTTAATATTAGTCCTTTGGAGGCAATATAGATGGCGCCTGTTTTAAAAATATTATAGCGGTTTTCAATTTAGCATTGCGTAATTTATGGCTAATATTACTATGCATTTTTCCAAAAAGTGTGTTTATCATTTATTTACTCTATAAAGTTTACCTTTTATATAATATATGTTTATTATTCAGCCCCGTAACTAGGGGGAGGGAGGTTGAGTAGGTTGGCTGTCACCCTTCTTTTAAAAAAATTAGCAACTACACCAACTATCTTTTATACTGTTAATATTAAATAAATATTTAAAACTGAGAATTTATTTTTTTATAGCTAAAGGTTATAACTTTATTACTTTTTTACAAATTTATTCACATAATAATTTCGTTTAAATCAAAAGGTAAAAATAATATCAATAAAATTTTAGTCAGTGTATTCAAAGTCAGCATAGTAATAAAATGGCAAATCAGTGTTTTCTTTTTCAGATATTTCAATGTCATTGTGCTCATTTAAATTTTTTATTTCATTTATATTTATTGATTATATTATTATTTGTTTAAGTTTTTCTTTTCTATCATCAAAATCATCATCCTTATCCAACTCATTCTTCATCCGCATACATTATCATTATTTGCATAATTTGTATTTTTCTTTTCAGTTTCTTGAAAAAGAAGATCAAATGCGTCTCCTTCTAGATTCATTTTTTTATGTTTACATTTTGGTCTTGCATAGTTTAGAGATGAAAAAATTGGGTCATTCTAAAGCATTAAATAATTAACTTGGTCTGTCATTGTAGCTTTTCGATCAAATTTAGAAGTGTTTTAATAGCGAATATTTTTATTATCTTTATTCCGAGCTTCAATTGCTTTTTCAGAGTACATTCCGATTGGTAGCATAAATCTAGATTTCAGACTACTATAAACAAGTAGTTTGTGTACTGAGGCTGGCATGAAAAACCATAAGAACTCTCGCACAAAAATATTTTCTGTTTCCAAACAATATGTTTCATATTTGGCTATGTTAATTTTTTTATTCAAATTAATGACAGATAGAATAAAGTACAGCCTGTAGATTAAATCTTTCTTGACTTCTTTTTATTCGCGAAAACTCTGCTTGCTGACGAAAAGCACGACGAGCAGTACTGCCATCATTTAATGTCCCGTATCCGTCTTGAAGACGGCGTGAAGAGGCCTTAAAGAGGCCAATTTTTGCAAACTTTTTTTTTACAGAAAGTTTTATCATTTTTAAAGACATAAATGACGTCACTAAAAAAATCTAGTGACGTCATATATATCTTAAAGTGTGATAAAATTGCCATCTCAAAAATAGAAATGATGAGAATAGTCGGAAATATGTTTGTCGAACAACTATATAAGCGTGCATCAATTCTTGTAGAAAAATTAAATGTAAAACAAGTTGTGCCTCGAGTACATGCAGGCCAACAATCTCATCGAGCGAATCCGCCTTTTGAAACGTTTGAAGAGTATTTCAAAAAATCTCTAATCATTTCATTTATAGATCATATATCAGTTAGAATGAAAGATAAATTTAAACCATCAAAAACAAGTGAGTTATTGTTAGGTTCTTAATCTTATATTATCTGCGTGAAAACATCAGTAGAGCTATCTAAAAGAACAAGAAGCGTAATTTGACGCTTTCATTTTTACATAAGAGCAACACAAAGACGTAAACGACTTTCTGAATCGCCTTTAATGCACATCTAGTGTTATTATAACTTTTATTTAGGTGTTAAAATATTTTCAAAGTCATATCCGATAAAATTAGAATTTGTCTCCTGTCTTTTAAACGTTTAACATTTATTGTAATTAAATAAATACTTATCATTGAGACAAAATATTTATTGTTTATTCATTTTTCATCAGTTACATTATCTTATTTTTATTTAATTTTATTTTATAAGAATTTTTTTTTAAATTGAAAAGCATATAAATAAATTTTACAAATTTTTCTTCATAATGTATCTGGAGTATTATTCTTATAGGTTAAAAATGTTAATTGGGAGTTGTACCTTCAGTGAATTTCTCACGAAAGTATAGGTTTTCGATACCATCTTGAAATATGCGTGAATATTTCTGAACAAACGTGTTTAGATACAATGTAGTGTTGGCAGTGTTGATTTTATGTAATAATTTATCAGAGCCTGTGTTTTAAAATTATTTATATAAGTTTTGAAGTTATTACATGTGTAAGGTTAGATGAATTTTCAGCACTATACACACCATAATTTTCTTATATAGTTTTTCTATGCTTAGATAAAGAACGAAAGTTGTTTGCGTAGAGCTCTTTTGACTTTTAATCAACAAAGTGATTGAGTTGCAGTCAGTTTCTTTTGTTGTTGAGTCTATTATTATGCAAGCAGTTGCATAATAATCAAAATAATTAATAACAAAAAATTTATTTTCTACTGACGCATTTCTCATGTCCAGTGATGACACCGTGTAATTGGGGTAAAAATACAAAGGTTTCTTGCAAATTGCATGAAACCTTTGTATGCCTGTTGAAGAGCTAAATAGCGCTTAACTTATTCCAAACATTGGAATTTTTTCTCTTTTGTATAAATGGTGTTTTTTACATTGCTGTACTGCTGGGTTAATCTTGCAACGGTAGTTCACCTTAAAAATGCTTTGAAATCAAAGCTTTTATTTTTTTAAATAAAAACAACAACCTTTTTAATGACAAATACTCCATTAAGCCTTCTTAGTGACCCGAGTGAAATTTATATTGTTGTACATTATGTTTAAAATTATCCATTTTAATAGGACTGATTAGTAGTTTCACACTCAAATTGAACTTCTCGAAGTTCTTCGAAGTTTGCTTGAAGTTCAAAACTTCAAGCTAACTTCTCAAAGCTTCAAGAACTTTCTTAGAACTTTATAAAAAATTGCTTATTACTTTTTAACCAACTTAATGTTTCAAAATTAGTCGATTGAAAAACTTTAGCACAATATATAGAGTTTGATAAGTTAAGACCCTTTTATTTATGTATAGTAGAGTATAAATCTGCACACATCAGTGTTAATAATTTATAAATGAAACTTCCTAAACAAGTAATATAAGGTGACTTTCAAGTTACATTCGGTTTTTTCACGAACTTAATTGGCTTGTCAGGTATTTGACACAATTCAGTGGTTAAAATTTTGTTTTGATTACATTTTTTTTATGAGCACCTTAAACGAAAATTTTAATATTTTCAAAAATAATTATACTGGATCCAAAGTTTTTGCAAGTAAACTTTTATTACTTGGGCAAGCGTAATTTTTCTTAAAAACGCAGAGGTTTAAAAAAAGTAACAAAAGTGCTCGTATTACTAAGACCACTTGGTAACCACTTGGGACCACTTGGGGTCGTCCATAAAGTACGTACGCTTTTTTTTTGTCAACCCCCCTTCCCCCGAAAATTGCAATACGCTTTTTTGAGTACCCTCTACCTCCCTAAAAGTATCTACGCTTTTAAACTATTTGTCTAATATTTTATGACATTTTTTTAAATTTAGTATCTTCTTTTTTTTATGATTGACCCACTGCCCTCCCATCTCATATAAGCCATTTGCAAACCCCCTCTTCCGCTCCGAGCGTACGTACTTTATGGACGATCCCTTAGCCCAAAAAATTAACATCAAGTTAAAAAATACCAACCTAAAAATTAGAACTAGTTCTTGGAATATATGATTTGTTATTAACAAAACTTATCATTTAAAGATCAAATTTTTAGCCACTTTTTGTTGAAGCAATATTACTATGTTTTCCGCAAATAAAAAAAAATTATAATTATTAGTTGTTTTTTTTTGTTTTTTTTTTTAATATTATTAACTCAAATCTTCGAACGATAAAAATTCAAATTATTTGAATTTGAATTAAAAAACAGTTTATGTGTTATCTTATATAACCCTTGGAATTGGCAGTAGATAAGCATAAAATATTGAGGATGTAATAAATTTAGGATGATCTTGTTTCGTTCTGACGTGATTACAAAATATTGAATAATAAAATATTATAACGGAGATGGTAAAAAATTATAACGGAGGTGGTAAATTTTTTGAAGAATAAAGCAATCAAAGAATATTAACTGTACAACCAAAAAATTAAAATAAATAAAAACTTGGATAAATATTCTTAACCAAAAAAGTTCGCAAAAAAATCAGTTATCTACCCGTGAAAGTGGTTATACCTGCTTATCATACGCAACCTTCCCCTATGTATACATATTTATAGATATATAGGGGAATGTTGTGTAAGATATCTAAGCTATCTAGCTTAGATATATTTCTATATACTTTTAAAAAAATACTCACATACAAATGTTTGTTTTATAAGAAAATAACCATTTATATGTTATTTTGCTACATTGTTAACATATCACGGATAACATAATGAAATGTATGCTTTAAAATAATGTGCCTAAGGAAACTGGTTTGCCTTAAAACAAAACAAAGATTCAAATAGCAGTACCATAAAACTAGACGAAAATGAAACTTTCAAAACTTTTGAATGATATAATCGTTATAACACTATTTGGTTATATCATAGCAGTTGATTTTCATAAAATATTATTTTATGAAATATAAAGTTCTTTATTTTATGAAAATTAAATGTTCTTTTTAGTTTACCAATGATTTAATATGAGAGCATGTCGCTATTATTATTATGTCGCTAAGATTCTTTAGCTAAGATTCTAAGTAGATTTCCTACTTTGTACCTTTTTTAAGTCCTCTA